TACAGATGTAGGGGCAGGAAGTCTGATGTCCAGGAGTGAACAACACCATATTCCCAGTGAAATCTGTAGGAGAGAATCCTTCCTTGCCTCTTGCTAGCTTCTATCGATGGTGGAGGCCATCAATCCTTGGCATCCTTTGGCAAGCAGCTACAGCCCTCCAATCTCTGCCTCTGTCTGGCCTTCTTCTGGTGTGGCTGTGTCTTCATATCCTCTTTGTACAAGGAATCATATTGGATAAAGTCATACTGGATAAAGACTCACTCCACTCCAGTATAACCTCCTCTTTTAACTAATCCCATCGACAATGACACTACTTCCAAATAAGAGTACATTTTGAGGTATGTGGGATAAGGACTCCAATATGTTTTCGAAGACACAATTTAGAACAAAGTAATACAGGAGAGGGGAACCCTGAGTAGGACAGAGCCAACCCAGCATGATATTCCTTGAAATATTGAAGCATTCATCTTCTAGTCCACAGCAAGAGGAAGCACAAATCCCAAGAGAGAGGCTGTCACATGTCCAGTGCAGAGAGTTTCTTCAGTGCAGCTTTATGAGTGAAGTCAGCCAGCAATGGGATGCCTTCGATAAAAATGGGAAGAAAGAGGCCAGCCCATCATTTGATCCTGAGAGTAGGCAAGCAAAATTTCAAGAGTGTTATACTAGATTAGTGCTTCCCTTTCAGAAAATATAGTTCAATTCTGGAAGCTATGATGAACAATAATTTGCCTCTTCTTAAAAAGCCCTCTAGGATACAGAAGGGGAAGGGAGCCAGCATTTTTATTTAGTTTTCTCTCTGCCCGGCCATACGTGGAATGGTTTTACAAACAGCATCTCTTTTAATCCTCATGACAACTCTTCTAACATTAACCCTGCTTGACAGATAAGGCTCAGAGAAGTTAAATAGGTTTCTCCCAAATTCCCAGAGTTAAAAGATGATGATACCACGATTTAAACATAGGTCTATCAAGTTTATAATCTGTCCACTATGCTGTTTTCTCTTTTCTTTTTTTTTTTTTTTTGGTACCGGGGAATGAACTCTGGTCCTTGCGCTTGCACAGCAAGCAGCAAAACCACTGAGCTAAATCCCCGGCCCTTCTCTTCATTATCTTATGTCAGATAACATATGTGAAAACTTGAAGCAGTGCACCCAGCAAGTGGAAAGAAGTCAATATACATTTACCCTTCATCCCTCCAGAGAATGTTTCTGAAATAAATGAATGAATGAATGAATGAATGAATGAATATACAGGAACACACAGCACCATCTGATTCTCTTGTCTTCTTGTGATCTCTTCCTCCTTGAAACTCCCAAGACCTGTTCTTCCCTCTCAGAGGGGAATTATTCCCTCTTGCCTGCTGCCTTCACCCCAGAGCTTGTCTGTCAGAGAAGGAGCTAGGTCTAGCTTCCTTCTATTCCCCTCCCCCAGTCTCCTGAACTGGCCTAGTGTGAACTAGCTGCTCAATATCTATCTGCAGAGTGAATGATCATGTTAAACTCCTCTAAAGCAGCACTGGTTAAAGAGATGTAGGCAAAAATCTGAGCCGGGACTCAGAAGTAGGCTCCAGGCCTGGCACTGTGTCATGGTTTGAATCTTATGTGTCCCCCAAAAGTTTATGTAAGTCTTAGTCCCCAGTACAGCAACATTCAGCAGTGGAGCCTTTAGAGCATGATTGGATTGGAGAGATCTGACTTTATGAATTAAGGGACTTGTAGCTTATGGGCTACTGGAAATTTTAAGAAATGGAGGAAATAGGTCACTTAAAGGGTCCCCAGACCCTTCTTCTGCTCCCTCTGCTTCCTGGCTGCCATGACATGAGAAGCTCTGCTCCACCATACATTCCCTGCACCATGTTCTGCCTTTCCGTAAGCTCCTGGTAACAGGACTGTCTTAATTACTTTTTTTCTCATTGCTGAGGCAAAATACCCAAAACCTAAATTTTTTAGTGTACTTCACGTTTGTGGAGGTTTCAGTCTATAATTGGTTGGCTCCAAAGCAGGGCAGTATGGCAGAGCAGCATCACCCAGGAGAAACAGTTCATGGCAGGCAGAAGGCAGAAAAGCAGTGAAGCAGCAAGCTCAACCAATAACCAACAACCTTCTTTATGTTTCTTATATTTTATCCAGGCTACCACCGTCTTAGGGCAGGTAGCACTCACACCCAGGGAGGGTCTTCCTATTATCCACACCCAGAACTATGCCAAACCAATCAGTGGACTAATTTGGTAATCACACACCCTTGATCCCAGCATCACACACTTAATCCCAGCATCATACACATTAGTCCAGCCACCTCTGAAAAGCCCCACCTATAATCACATGGGGCTTTGGGGGAACATCTAGATACAAGCCATGATAGGGCTTGAAAGCCTCTGAGCCAAAAATAAAGTTTTCCTTCTTTTAAGTTGTTTGCTCAAGTATTTTGACATAGCAACAGAAAGCTGACTAATATACACTGTTACTAACGCACTATGCAAAGTCAGGCTCTTCTTGAACTTGTCTTTCTATCTTCCTCAAATGAGAGGCTTGCATGATGATCTTGAGAGCTCTTCTGATCCAGTAGTCTAGGTCATGATGTCTTTAAAGGTCAGAAGGGGCTAAGGGCATCCAAATACCACCAGCAGCACCTGTGCTGTCCAAGAATAGACAATGCTTTCCTAGTTTCCACTTCTTAGCATTTGGGCATCTTACAAATGTCCTCTTGCTAGTTCCAGGTGAAAACTTTGCAGAGACAACTAAAATGAAGGACAACTAAAATGAAGTGCTCTCAGCCTGAGGTTCCTTGTCCACAGAAAGCATTCCTGGGGCCAAAGAGAATACCAGACCCTTGATCACCAATAGAACATGAACTTCCTGTCCCTTCCAGGAAGGAGCTATAATGATGGTAATTAATGCCTACTTGTGCACAAATGAGTTATCCTGCCTTGTGTAAGCCCATTATGGGCATTATTGCATTTGATTCTTCTGTGAGGCACAACTGCATTATAATTTATAAGTAATAAGATACATTTTCATTATAATACTTTGTATTTTATTCCTTGTTTTACAAACCAACTGGGGCTCCATACCTTGAGGGATATTCTCAGTGTCATCTGTCTTCATACTCCAAGGCTCAGTCTTTATATTTAGTTTTCCTTTTCTAATAGAAAATATATTCACATGATACAAAATCTAAAAGATATAAATGTGTGTATGGAATATTTCCCATACCCCGGATTTCCTGGCATCTCATTCTCTTTGTAGGAGGGGAATCACTGTTATCAGTTGTCTGCAATCCAGAAATCTTCTCCACTAAGAGAGGTAAATGGCTATGTAGGGCCCCTGGAGCACACCACAATAATCTATCTGTGCCTCCCTTTCCCGTTAACCAACATCTCTAGGAAAACCTTACATATCAGTACATAAATGTCTACCTCCTTGGTAATGGCTGGGTGGTGGTACAGCACTTAAAAATGTCATTGATTTTGAAGAATGCATGAGGATACCAAGCTTTTTTATTGAGGAGGGGGGTGAGACAGGGTCTCTCTATGTAGTTCAGGCTGGCCTAGAACTCATGGTGATCTTCCTGCCATGGCCTCCTGAATGTTGGGATTACAGGCACATACCACCATGCCCAGCTATGAGCCCCAATTCTTAAGAACTGGAATGGCAGGTCCTCACACCCAGGGTCACTGAACTCTTCCTATCAATTGACCCTGGATGAGACCCCTACACAGAAACTTCAGTCTGATGGAAGACTAGATGAAATGATATAGGAAAGTACTGCATGCTTTGCACACTGAATGCTCAGTTATTGTACTGTCAGAGTGTCTGACTGTATGAATTAAAATGGTTGGAATACTAGAGAGTGGCAGAAGTCAGAGAGAAAATCTGGCTTCTTCCCCAAGATCTATGGAGTGATGGAACGTACAGATAGCCCTGAGTTCCAAACCCAGTTCCGTCACTTCCTATGTATTAGCTCTTGTATGTAGTAAGAGAACACCTCCATCCTCTGAGTGTGAGACAGGCAAATGAATGTCTAGCTACATTTCCCAGGCTCCTTTGCTGCTATGTTCTCACCAATCAACTGCAGATAGAAATTTCTTGCCCTCTACTTCCTCTCTGTCCTCCTCCCATGGACTACAACACTAACATGATGCTAATGTGACAGCCTCGCCCAGATGGATGAGTTAGCACTCTAAGGAAGAGCAAAGTTAGAAGGACCTTGGGTACCTGAGTGACACATGTCACTGAGTCTCGTGCTCAGCTCTATCAACATTCCTGTAGAGCAAGCAGTCTGTTACATGAAAGTGTGGTCCACATTGATTTGTTTTAGCTATTGTATTTTGAGGTCTCTGTTACAGCATCTTAACTTTTATGCTAACAAACAATGAGACCTTGAACAAATCATTTGATATCCCTAAACCTCTGTTTCCACATCTCCAAATTCCTCATGAAGATTAAAGACAAACAGAACACCTAGCATACTACTTGGTACATGGTTAAAAACTCAATAAATGGCTCTCTGGCCTCAGTTTCCCCACCTGTAAACTGGGCATGTTATGAAACCCAAATCAGACAGAGGACCATGCCATTTCTACAGCTGGAAACCCCTGCCAGTAGCCTGAGCTACAGAGTACTTTGGAATGCTACAGAGTACTTTGGAATGCTACAGAGTAGGGATTTAATCTTCCTTGTCCTAGTGAGCTTGGGCTAGTCTCTTCTTGGATTTGATGTAAGAGTTCACTTGGTTTGGGGCCTGGCTAAGGTCTCTGACTACACAATGCCTATTGACTTTGGTGTGAAGGAATCAGGGATATGAAGTCTCAGCCTATGTTTTAAAAATAAATGTGGACCTGGAGATTTAGCTCAGTGGTTCTGCTGCCTGCCTCACAAGTGCAAGGCCCTGAGTTTGATCCCCCGTACCTAAAAAAAAAAAAAAAAAAAGAATGGCTGAAATATTAGAGTACAAATCTTAGACAAAAAAAGACTCTTGCAAAAAAGAAACAGATGTGTGCTGGTGAGGATGGTAGAATGCAATAAGAGAACTGCATTTTCACAATCGCCCTCCACTCATTCCACTCAAATTAAAGGCTTTTGTGACCAGTTTTGAGAGCTCATGTGAGCCAGAGATTCCCATGTTTATTGGGTGCCTAATGTGGGCCAGGCTGAGCATTTAGCACCCTTAGTGCTCTCCTCCACTGTTGTTCACCGCAGCCCCAGCAAGAAGTCCTCTTACCACTTGACAAATGAGCACATAGCAAAATAGGAATTTCTTACCCCAGGTCACAGAGCTAGTAAGTGGCTGAGCAGGATGTGAACACAGGTCTAGCTGATTCTAAGATTTGCATTCTGTGATTCCATGATTCTAATATCTATTGAATGCCTGCTATGTTCCCAGCTAGGGCTAAGTTACCTGGGGAAAGCAAAAGGTATCAGACATGGACATTGGGTATTATCATGAAAGTACAGGAATGGAGAGGGTATCAGACCTAAAGGCAGAAAGCATGTGTTTCTCTGCCCCTAACTACCTCTGTGGCTCTTTGCACACTTCTACACCTCTCTAGGCTTCATTTTCCTCATATATAAAATACATATAACACTAATCCTAGGGATTAGAAAGACTGGAATCTCAAGGATTGGAAAGATTAAATAAATGAGGTTATATGTGTAGGGATAATGTGCAAACTAAGACAAAAAATAATGTTGCTTTAGGATGTTCCAGAAGCCTCACTGTGTTTTGTGAATGTTTCAATAATGTCCATGCTCCCCTGGGGACAAAAGGGATCACCTGGTGCCTCTTGATGATGTTCCCAGCATATGAAATCCCAGGAGTTCACATGCAGGAGGGTAGAACCATCTGACCTTCCTCCAGCCCAGTGCCAAGTGGAAGATGTCAACAGCTACATGGCTCTTTACCAGCATGCTGGTGCCAATAACACCCTTTATGTGTAGAGGGCATTTTAGAGCTTAGAGAGCCATGGAATGGCTGCAAATTCTTTGGATTGCCTTGGAACCCAGCAAGGCAGCAGGACAATTTGCACATGAGGAACTTGAGGTGCCAAGGGTCCACGATGTGCCACAACTTGCTCAGAGATGTATTGTTAGTAAGGATCAGGGTCCATACTATGCAACTCATGTCTCAAGCCTGTGTGTGGTTCTAAAGTTCTTTCCATTTGCCATTATACTGCACTTTCAACAGAGGAAAATATACTGCTCTCTTTGGAGCCCAAGTTACAAAACACCAGACAATGATGGTGAACCTTTTAGAGCTTTCAGTGATACAAACAGCCCACTGCAGCACACATGCCATAGGTTCGCCACCTCTGGAATAGGGTGAAAACTTGCTCATTCATTCAATAGACATTCACTGAGATTCTGCCTCCTACCTGAGATGCTTCCACATGAAATCCACAAGATAGAATTATAAAAACCACAGGACACATTTGATTTAACTACACTATGCAAATGACCAATTCAATTTACACATTTTTCTTTTTAATTTCTAAATTGGTAACTTTACACAATCATAGAATATATAAAGCAAAAAATCTTCTAGTTAAGCCTCCTCATTGTACAGATGGGGGAGCTAAGAACCATAAAGTACAAGCACTTTGCCCAAAATCACACAGCAATTTGGTATCAGGGATTCAAGTACTATGCCTGAACTTAAAGCCCCATTTATTTCCAGTTCACCATATTCTGGGTGCCTAGTCCGGGCCTTGGCAAATTCACATTCTTTTTTTGTCTAGAGAACATTACCTGCTTGAGGCAGGGACCAGTTGTAGTTTATCTTTGTACTGCCAGCATGTACTGCCAGCATCTGGCATGTAGAATAATGCCCTCCATGAATGTATGACAAATGAGAGTTGAGTGACAAATAAAACAATAATTGCCCAAGCTGAGAATCAAATAGGTTAGAGAATCTGTGCAAGGATACATGGCTCCCAAGTGGCCAAGCCAATATTCAAACTAGTCTTTCTGGCTGTGGAAGCCAACTCACCTACTAGAAGGAGGACCTGCATAAGGCACCAGGCATGCAGCAACATGGGAAATGGTTGTACTATCCATTCTCCAGCCCTCTTTGCTCCTCCCTCTCAGGGTTGGAAAGAGCCCAGGGAGTAGGGTCCTGCAGGAGGATCAGGTAAGCAGGCTCAGCTGGAAGCCACACAATCACATAGGGTAGAGGAAGATCATCGTTCGAGGCCACCTCCCAGAGGGCCTCAGGCCCAGATGGCCAAGCCAGCTGCACATGTTTGGAAGGCAGTGAACAGCCTTGCTGGGGGCCAGAAGAAAGATCTGTTCTGGGGGTTCTGCCAGACCTGGAGATGTGACTGCCAGAGGGGGGTCAGGCCAGGGGGGAGGACACATGTGGCTATGGCCCCGCCAGAGGCCATGCTGGCCCCACTGAATCAATCCTCTAACCAAAGCCATAACTTTAGTCCAAGCTCACAGCGTTCCGTTTCCCAGATTAGACCATGGAAAAGTGGTTCCACATGGACTCGTCTTCCTGGTGGCTTACTCACCCCACACCCCAGCCCCACCTCTGGCCCAGCACCACAAGGAGTCCATTTGGTGTCAACACAGGGATGTTACTCTTTATTTTCTTCTTTCTTGAAGAAAATAAAAATAATTCTATCAGACCTAAATATCTGTGTGACCCCCAAGAAGCTGAGGTTAGACATGTTCACACATCAGGGCCAGAGCAGTCCCACAGGTGAGAGGCTGCCTCCCTCAGTCTTAGGGGTACTAATGAAAAGAAGAAGTCCATGCCAGAGGCAGCCCCTTCCCAAGATCTCCTCCTGGGTCTGCTCATTTCATTGCTCATCTTGATTTTGCAGATGAAAGAGTTAAGTCTCTGAGAAATTTAACTAGTTCAAAGTCACTTACTCCTTCAACAAATGTTTATCATGTTCACCAATGTGCCTGCAATGGACTTTTGCAGTAAAAAAACTTTTATTCTTTATTTTCTCCTGCTGTATAAAAAGATTTACTAATGTATTCCCTTTAGTGTTCCATGAAAAGTTCCCCAGAGTGTCTAAGGTAGAAGACTAATCCTATGAAAGTCGAACAGGCATTTGGGGAAAATAATTTCTGTGCACAAATTAGCCTGGAAATCACTGATTAAATGATGATTACTTAGGAAATCACTGATTAAAGAAACTAAATAACACAGGATTTTCTTGAATATAGAACCTTTCAAAGCTCATAACTGCTAAAATGCATTTGACTCTCCCAAAAGACTAGAGAGTATGCACTATTCTCACAAAATTATGAGCTGTAGTGCTAAGAAAAACTGTTTTGAAAGCATTTCCCTAATATAGAATGAGGCTGAATCATATAAAATCACCCACATTTGGCTGGTTTTGATCTACGAAATAGCAACTCCACATGGTTCGACCTAGTACATACAGTTCTTCACACATTTTTGTCCCTCCTCTATCATCTTTCATGGTGTCCTGTGGCTAATAGGCACTTTTGAAAGGTACTTGCTATGTAGCCCTAATAGGCTCATGGTTAGGGATGGAAGTGGTCCTCCAGTGGGTGGCTAGGCTGAACCAAATCCATGCTTGTCCCTCCATGGTATGGAGATGACATGAGAAACAGCTCCCCAACTAGCAGCTAAAGTCCAGGTGAGTATGGGGGTGCTAAAATCCACCAGGAATGTGACACTTCCAGATGACAGAAGGTAAGAATCAGCTGTACCTCCTCCATCATTTGTCCACCTTCTGGCTAAGTACAGAAGACTCTAAGGCCCTTGAGGTTGGCAGATCCACAAGACGGAAGATCCACAAGATAGAAGACTCATGACATGGAAGATCCACAAGATAGAAGATTCACAAAATGGAAGATAGAAGACAGAAGATTCACAAGACGGAAGATTCACAAGATGGAAGATTCACAAGATGGAAGATCCACAAGTCAGAAGATTGACAAGAAGGAAGATTGACAAGATGGAACCTACTCACTCACAGGGAAAACCCACCCTGAATTATTAGGTGAGGGAGAAAGAAACTGTTTATCTTAATCACTGAAATTAAGAGGGTAAGTTGTTATTATCATGGACATCAAAGGAGAAAGCATTATCCAGACCAATATGGTAACGTTGGGAGCAGGTGGCAAGGGTGGCCATCCTGAAGCGTGAAGCTGGTTCCAATGTATAGAGCAAAAACGTAGACCAACTTCAATAAGGTCCAGACAGGAAAGGGATCATCCTGAGCGGAGTGGCCATCCCAGGCTCACATGTTTGAAAGCTAATGTATCTGTAAGATGTAAAATCTGAATGAAGAGCCATGTCGGCCATAGGAGATATTAATTCAAATGCTGATCATTCAGCTGACATATCCTTGGTGTCTCCTCCCGCACCTCACCACCCACGTCTGGTCAGTCTTCTCCAAGTGTTCCTGCTCTCTGTCTCAGGCCTCTTCTCTCCCTAGCCCATCTGCTCTGGACATCCCATCTCCAAATTTCCCTACCATCAGGCTAAAGGGGATTTTCTTAGCACTGAAAAATCTCTCCCTATCGAACTCTTCAGTGGTTCCTAGGACACTCCATGTAATCCTCACTTTCCTCAGCCTGACACTCGGGGCCCTCCAGAAGCTGGTCTTTGTCTCTTTTCCAGCCTTCCATCCATCACCCATCCACACCCACCCATCACACACGGCTATGTCTCCACCTCCATCCCACACACTTTTATCTTTGTGGGTCCCTCCCACCATACAAACCATAATAGCATCATTATTTAAAAATTATTATTGGTATAATTTTAAATACCTTGAGTGTTGTTATCCTATTTTAGGCAAATTTAATAGATTTCCACAGCTCTTAAAATTTTTTATTTTTCTGAGGTAAGAAAAAAATTCAAACATTTTCTCTGACTCTAAATGTTCAAGGTTTGTTTTTTGTTGTTCTTTTGTTTTTGTTTTTCTGGTCCCCTGGAAGGCTTGCAGGCTATAGGAGCCATGCCAGTTGGACTGATGGAGAAGGCTCCACATCCTTTCTGAGATGTCCATCCTCCTCCGAGTCTGTCCTGCGGGCCTCTGCAGTGAGAAAGAGCAACAGTAGTTCACTGGTACTTTCTCTTTCCACCGTACCCATGTAACAGAAAGGTCCTCAATGGTGGTAAACATCAAGCTCACCAAGGGAGCTGGTTAGAAGCAGATTCACTGCCTCAGCTTCTAAGGTTGAGGCTCTTTAGGTCTAAGATGGAGCCCTGGACTCTTACAGTCTCCCCAAGGGATTCTGGGGCAGGTCACCACACACAAGCACAGACACACCCACACCCACACACTCACACACTCACACACACACACACACACACACACACACTGAACCTTGAGAAACTCTCATTGGGAAGTCTGGTTACAATGGTGAAATGTCACTGTGTCCTTCATAACAGCAAAGGTGCATGTCTGGGTTCTACTGACCAGCACAGTGCCTGGTGCCAGTGAGTGCTTAAAAATGATGAACTGACTTGAGCTGAACTAAATGGGTACAAAGTGCTTCACATCAGGATGTGGTGGTAGAAAGAGCAGCAATCATTTGATCTCCCCCACCTTCCTGCAGAAAGTTAAAACACAGCAGGTTCTCACCTAGAGACTTGGAAAAGTGACTCCATGCCTCCAAAGCTGATCTTACTGAGCAAAATGGGAAGAAGGTGAACTTGAAGAAAGACCAACCTGGGCCTGAGTGTTGACTTAACCTCCTTCTAACTCTGTAGCCATGAACAAGCACCTCATATTTCTCTACAAATAAAAGAGAAACAGTACAATCCCTTGTATGGAGCACATGCTCAGCGGTGATCCACTTCATTCTTTTCATGTGGCTAGAGCCAAAAGCCCTGGAGGTGGATGTGTGAGCCTGCCTCTCCCAGCAGGCTGGCTCTGAGTGTGATACTTGCACAGAGTAGGTGCTCCTTGTATGTGGCAGCAGCGGACACTAGAACCCATCTAGCACTCAGGCCCTCTCTCTGGTCTCATTACCATACCTAGGCTCAACTCTAGGAGTGAGGAGAAGATTGTTCTCCACAAAGCACCCTGCTTTTTGCTCTATCCTTTTGCAAAGGCTCTGGAGGTCCCAGAGACTCTGCCCTCCATCTTGCCAGGTCCCCCCAAAACAAACCAGAAAAGCACACAGGGATATCAGCAGGCATGCTGGCCCTGGGGTCCACCAGCAAACAGGTCTCTGGGTCAGGCAGGCAGCACAGTTGAACTTACAGTCCTTTCTGCTGGTCTCTGAAAATAAGATAGTGCAAAAATATTTACCTCCCCAAAGCAAACACCTGCTCTACAGTTTCTGAACATGAGCCCACAGAGAGATCTCCCTCCATGAGGGAGAAGCTAACACAGGGGGCATGTTTCCAGGAAGGAAGGCCCAGGCTCCCAGGATGTCCCTAGCCACCCATCCCTCAAGGATGACAGTAAGACCCTGTTCACACACCTGCTCTTCCTTCTTTGGTCCTGTCTGTGACATGACTCATCTTATTGCTGATCAAGTTTTATGAGATGAATTTCATCTTTTTCATTTCAGTCTCAGTGTTCTGAGGGTGCCTCCCTGAGGCCTCTTTATTCTCTGTTCAGCTAAAATAAACTGTAGGGGAAAGGGGAAAGATATCGCATGAGCATCCAAAACCTACAGGAGACATGGTTGTTACATGTGAGGGAAGAATCCTGACACACTCAGAATACCCAAATCACAGAATTATGATAATTCTGTGTTCAAAGTAATTACACATAGCTCTTTATCTTCTGCTAGTGAGCTCAACAGCACTCCAAGATTGTTGTGAGACTTAAATAAATGACCCACAGGAGACCATGTTTAAAGGTAATTATTCTCTAGTAATTTATAAATATGATAGACACTGTTGGTTGACTGCCCAATAGCAATTTCCTTCCCATTTTCTTCACAGTAATGGTAATACACACACACACACACACACACACACACACACACACACACACACAGAAAGAGAGCTAAAAAAGCAAGGTTTATGTTTTCCCAGCCTTTCTTGCAACTAAAAGTGGCCACATGACCTTGTTCAATTTAATGATATATATGGAAGAATGTTCTGTCAGGCGTCTGCAAAAGTATCCCCTGCATAAGGAGAGCAAAGAGATCATACTCTGGCATTGCTGGCCCTCCCTTGCCCTCCTGCCTTTGAAAATAGGCATTTGAAGCCTAAAGCTAACATTGCCCTATTTAAACCACGAAGCAACCAACCTGAAGACAAGAGCCAGTGTGGAAGCAAGAAGAGCAGAGGGGTAAAAGAGGCTGGGTGGTTGTGTGTGTGTGTGTGTGTGTGTGTGTGTGTGTGTGTTTATTGACCTGCTGAGCCAGCCCAGAACTGCCTACTTCTTAAGCTACTCAATCAGGTGTCCTATACTTGCAACCAAAGGTATCTTATCTGATGACTGATGCATTACCAAACCACAAGACAATAACAACTCAGAACACAAAACATTGTACAGGGTGTAGGTGATTCGAGGGTTAAAAGTAAAAAATAAACCTTTACAAGACCTGAAAGATATATAAGTGAATATTTAATATTATCAATATAGTCCATGAATGCATGTGTTTGCAAAATAGGAATGATAATAATAGCCACCTCTTGGGGTTTTTCTACTGATAAGTTAATATGTGTAAAGTCAAGTCAGAAGTGCCAGGTACATAATCAAGTACTACCTAATGTAGCTATCATATTAATTAGTAAAAAATGTAACTTTCTTTACTAAAATATTAGTTTGGAGAAGGCACCATCCTGGAATCAGAAAACCTGGCTTCTAGACAGATACATCTCCTCTTTGATCACATATCAATTTTTGTGACTGTACTGGGACCATGAAGTCTCAGTGCAATATATTCCCCATGTCAAAGAGTGTTGAAAGTTTGATGAATCAGATGAATTTGAGTTATTGCATATTGCCAAGTCAGTAATGAAATAAATGAGTCACTGGGCATCTAAAAAGGCTAAAAAAATACACTTGTAAATAAAATGGAACATTTTGGTTATACAACTAAGTATGAGTCTAGATGTTTTTAAATAATTTCATATGAAATTAGTTTTCCTTCCCTAAAATAATAGTTGTCCAATAACAAGTGTGAGTGGGAAAGTAGAGTAGAAGAGACCCAGGGAATGAACACCCGAGGTCTAGTTTTATTCCTATCACTCCCCATGTGCCTCTGGATGTGGGCTTCCTGCCATATCTCTGAGCCTCAGCATCTTCATTGCTCAGTTGAGGGCAAGAGTCTGGAGCTAGAAAGACAACAGCCTTACCCCAGTGATCAAATGAACAACTTCTATTAAGACAAGGAATATATAATGTAAGTGGCCTACAAAGGAAATCTACAATGTACAAGAAATACTGGACGTTACAAAGTCAGTGAAAGTAATGCTAAAAGAACTATGTACAAAACAAGCAAAATTACCAATTAGTGATGACCTAGCAGCGTTAGACACATACACAGATGATAAATGGCAGAGTTAGATATGTTAGAGAGAAGAGTTGGACACATTAGCCATTGAAGACAAGAAAATTGAACGGAATAATGACTTAAGTGCTTCAAAGGAGAATGTTTCTAATATAAACAAAGCTCAAGGGAAAAGTAATAAGACCTGTATTATACTTGTACGGGTTACCTGGTTCTTGACCATGCTGCAAAGGTCAAAGCTAAAGGATGCATTTTGTGCTAGTACATGATGTTATCTGGAAAACTATACCCCCCCAAAAAACATGTGGTTCATTCTGGGTTCATTCGAAGCTCTCATATGTAATTGTTATCAAATCTCAAATTTTTTAAATATGAGACAAAATAAACATGACAATAATGTTTTGTTCATTTTTCAAAATAATTTCCCATCAAACCTTTGTACTTTTTTACTATTCACTATGAAAACCTTTTGCTTCTTTTAAGCTTATTTATTTAAGGACATTTTATATGGTCAGACATGCAAAAATCAGCACCATCTATCCCTAAAGACAGAGCATACCAATCTAGGAGGAAACATCACACACAAAGACAGAAAGATACAAAAGTATATTTGTTTTCTAAAGTAATTCTCAAGCATTGGAGGAATCTTCTTTGAGAATCCAGTGAAAGAGATGGGTACTTTCTTTCAAAGAACCACAACTATGTGCTAGCACACAAAAATTTATCTAGGGCTTCAGGATGTTCATGGAGATCAAGGTCTATTCATGATCTAAACACTGAGAAGCATAGGCTGGGGATTGGCCTGTATTCTGGTATGATTAAAGAAAAGAATGAACTCTTACAAGATGTTCAAAAAGTATCATATATTCACTCAGAAAGTATTTCTTTCACACCTACTATGTGCCAGTCACTATTCTAGGTTGTGGTTAAATGACTTCATTAGTGGTCCCAAATAGCAGACTTTCTGTATCTGCTCCTTGCTTAGTAATTCTGTAGTCTTTTCATTCTATCCTTGGGTGTGGCCATGTCACTTACTCTGGCCAATAGGATAGCAGCAAACTTGGCATGAGCAGAGGCTTAAAAAATCATTTGCATATTTCCACTTCCTCTCTTGGATAGCTCAATTTCACCCCACCACACCCATACACACACCATCAGCTGCACCAGGTAGTCTGGACTAACTTGTTAGAGAATAAGAGACCACACACAGCAAGTTGAATCTGGCAGCAAGACATACAAATTATAGCCCCACCATGAATGTGTTAATGGCAAGCAAAACTGGCCAGGAACTCTATCTTTTGAAGTGTAGCATTGAAGAAAATCAAGAGCATAGACACCTAAATAAATATGAGACTACAAATTAGGACAAGTAGCATGAGAGAGAATAATAGAAAAGTCCTACCTTACAATAGGGCAGGCATCATTAGTGAGGGATCTCTGAAGATGTAAAATTTGAGTCCCAGGTGAGTGAGACTCAAAGAGTCAGGAGATGAATGCATGAGGCCCCCCTTCCCCACCCCCCCAAAAAAACAATTTGTGTGAACACTTGGGGCAAGAAAGGCTCTAGAAGATGTAAATGAAAATATAAGGAAATTAATGAAAGGGACAATGGGTGGGTCATTATGAATGAGAGATGTCCAGGGGAATAGGGAAAAATAAGAACCAAGATACATCATGTAAAGGTACAAGATCCCAATGACGGATGTATTGTATACCTAAATGTACCAATAAACTTAATGGGAAAAAATTAAAATTTAAAAAAATGAATAAGAGATGTCAGCAGGAACCAACTCAGGAAGGGCCTTTAGTCCAGTGAGGGAGTCAGATAAAAATTCCAAGTGCACTGGGAAGTGACCAAGAAGTTTCAAGCAGTTATTCTGCATGACCATTGGGAGGACAGAGGTGCCACTCCAGGTGCCTGGCAGCAGGAGCAATAGATCTGGAAGAAAATGGTGAGCTCACTGAGGGAAGGACTGCCTGGCTTGAAGTGGCTGGAGATCTGCATACGGAGCTGCCCAGTAAGCAGTAGGCACAAGGTCTGCAGGTGGTCACAGAGGTGTGACCTGAAACCAGCAGCTTGGTACTCACCACTGTGGAGGACACAGCTGAAACCATGCATGCAGATGCAACCCCCAAAGAGAACGGGCAGATGAGAAGAAAAACCACAAATGGAAAGTCCTGGAAGGGGTGAAAAGGAGACTGCAGCCTTCCCAGATGACTCAGGCTGCAATATTACTACCAGATCCCTAAGAAGTAACAGGAAGAAAATGTAGATGAAAACAAGGACTCCAGGAAGATATGCATATGGCAATGAAATTTATTTATTTCTGTGCCCTCTCTATGTCAGTGGTTAATATTATTAATGAATTTGACTTGTGGCATGTTGTGAATTGAGTAATAAAATAAAAACACAAACTTTATCTTAAAGGGAAAACTTGAACTGGTCAAAATAACTTTTTCTCCTATAAACAAAACAAAACCTTGTGCAACTGAGTACAGGGAGCCAATGTTAAATAATGTCATGTGGAACTACCCTCCCTCTACCCTACCCCTAATTATTATATCAAATTTGATGCAGCAGATTTCAGAAAAAAAATAATGAAACAGGATTCAGATGGCCCAGAATCTAATTATTGTCCTGCCAACATCATCAGTAAGACCTGAGCTAAATCATTTCCCTCCATAGCTTTGTCATCTATGAAACTAGAAAAGTGGGCTTAATTACACCTTGAATTTCTTACAGTGTCCTTTGAAAGGACAGGCTAGTAAGCCAGTAGTTCTCACTGAACTTCTATAATGTTACAGACCTACATATACATGATCTTAGTCAATGCTTGTACATGCAGAACCCTTATGGGAAAAGTATTATTGCCAGTTTAGAGATGGGAAAACTCAAAAAGTCAATGTTACAGTAGCATCCACTTGAGCTCTTGTGTCAAGTAAACCATACTTGCTGTGCTGATTATCAATTTATTGCCTGTCAGCGTTGTCACCCTTCATTGTCCTGCTTGGTGATGCAGGAGCTGCACCCTGTGGATGGTCCCCCTTGCCGGCTCGCAGTGTGTTAAGCTCTGTCAACAGAGGGCACCAGAGGGACACTGTGGATGGAAGGGATTTTTTTCTTGGTTCCAGATGCTTGATTTCTGCTTGCTTTTGTAGTGAAGAGCAAGCAGCATGTCAAGGATGCTCAGTGGTTTCTGGTCCTTGACAAGTTTCTCTGGCATCCTGAACAGCAGCTGTTCCCTGGGAAGTCTTCATCACACCCCATCAGATAGACCCCCAGAGTTTCATCAGCACCCAGGTCTGGCCTCCCACTGAGGCAGCTCAGCAGACCTCTCCACCATCTTGGGGTTCCACACTCCTCCAATGAGGCCCAGTAGGTCTGAACCTTGGCATTACAGCAAGGTGGAAAAGGCAGGGGGCGGGGTCATCTTGCAAGTTGTTTCCTTCCTTAGGTATGCTACTTTGACCCCATAGATGGTGGCTGTTCCCTAAGCCCTCTATTCCTGCATCATTTAGAGTTATCTTTACCTCTTGCTAGTTAGGCATCCATAACTAGTTAAAAACTCTACATTAAACACCCTATTCAGACTACTGTGCAGTTTCTATATTCTGACTCCTCCTGCTCAACATGATGGGAGTTCTTAGAGAAAGTCACTTAACCTCCCAGAGATTCAACTCCTGATGCAAAGTGGAAATAAAAATAATACTTCTCTTGCCAAATGTCATTTTAAAAATTAGAGCTTCTGAAACATACAGCACTTAGAATAGTGCTAGTGACAGGTGCTTCACAGTTGCGGCTCAGGAACCTTCACAAAAAATGCCCACCCAAAACAGCAGCAGGAAGGAGGTGGCAGTGCCCATGGGTCTCCATGAGCACCTCCCCCAGGAGCACCACACCACGGGGTGTCAGGGGCTCACACCCAGAGGAGAAATTCAGGGTTCAGGAGGAACAGACTGGGGTCCAATGGGACAGAGGGGTCCCAAAAGACTGTCTTGGACACAGCTAGGACCACTAGGGCTCCAGGGACTGTCTCTGGGATGAGGCCAGCCAGACTCTAAGGCAGTGGAGGAATAAACTGTCACTGTGCCCACCCAAGCCCCGACCCACCATCCTCTGGCAGCTCTGCAAGGCTTCCTGCTTCTTAGTGTTCCTCCAAGGAAAACCCGAGACAGACCCTCCTCTGCCACATTCACCCTGTTTGCTCCACTGGGCTGCAGCTTCAATTTCCTGTTTGCCCTCTGTTCCTAGCCATGAGTATCCCCAAGACTCTTCCCTGACTTTGCATAGAACCAGCTAGACACTGATACCCACAACCCCAGCTTTCTAGGACAGAAGTGCCACCGCTCCTTCCAGCTGGTCCCATCCCCATCCCACCTGCAGGACAACTGTGGAAGGCACCACGTCTATCTGTACCCTGAACCCTTGCTGCCCCAACCAGCACAGCCTCCACAAGGCTGTTCCATCCTGCCCAGGCCTGGCTCTCCCTGCTCTGAGCCCCTGATGCCTCTGTAAAAACTCAAGATCACCTGAGTGTGACCCAGTAAATGACCTTCCCTTTGGACCTCAGCACTCCATTTCACATCACAGCAAATAGGTCCTCGCTAGACTGTCCCTCGGGGCCTGACCAACTGGGAATCCCACAAGCACTTGCTCAAGCAAATACTGTGTCTGTCTTCCCTTGCTTGTCCTCACTCAGGGAAAGGGGCCACAAGGACAAGCCATGGTAGCCAGCCCCACCCTCTGTGGCCACCCCATCTCTCCATAAAGGATCACTGAGCAGACAGAAGATTTTCCCTTCCCTCACCCACCTGTGTTCTGTCCGTGTCACTGAGACAGTGATCTCCCCACCCAGATCCCTGCAGGGCAGATGAAAGAAACCTTACACAGCTAGCCCTACACACACCGGGCCCCAACACACACTGACAGCCACACCCACCACACACCTGCCTGTTCGCACTCACACAGAGGGGACACACTGACTCCCTCACACATTCTCACACTCGCTGCCCAACACATCCAACCACTTTGTGTCTCAAAAATATTCTGGGTTTGTAAACAACCCTACACACTTCACACTTCCAACAAGGGACTCTTATACAAGCCCTGCTGGAATTCACACTCGCTTTCCTTCTTTCCTGTCTATCTGCCTCTGCCTCTCTCTCTCTCTCTCTCTCTCACACACACACACACACACACACACACACCACTCCAAGGACCCTACTCGCTCCTAACACAAGGAAGAAACTCTGAACTCCAGCTTTGTCCCTGACACCTCCTCCCCAGCACTGCCCCAGGGCTAACCCTGGCTGCCCAACCAGCCCCAAAGACCTCTCCCCCTCATACCAAGGCCCAAAGTGAGCTGTGGTCAAAATAACTCCTACAATAGATGGTTTTCTGAGTGCCAAATCCTGCCCCTAGGTGACAGGACACACAGGTCTGTCCGACCTTTGAGCTGAGCTGACTACAAGAGGCTCAGAAGGGTGAGGACGTGGACTAGGGACCCAGCAAACCACAAGCGCATAGGGAACAGGAGACTGGAGACACCCATGACCAAATCATTCCTGTTCCACCGCACAAGGCAATTCTCCCCCCACCCCATGCTAAGGGAGCATTCATTTGGCCCCTTCTTTCATCCTACCACAGTAACTGGTACTGGTGAGTACTTTTTCTGAGCCAGGGACTAGGATATGAGCTGCATAGACATTTATTCACAGGTAAACATTATTATAATCACTGTTTTGGCAGGTGAAAAAAAACTGAGGATTTAGAGAACTTAAAGTAACTTGCCAAGGCCACACAGCAAGTCAGGTCGCCCACCTGTGTGACCCCCAAGTCCACAGTGACACAGCCACCTGCCTCCACCACCTCCCCTTTCCCTTGTGTTCAAACTGAGCAGAACCAAGTTTAAGCCCCGTCCCCACGACTGACTACGTGGCTCCAGAGGAGCTGCTTCACCCCCCTGGCCTCCATCCCTGAACTTGTGAAATGAGGATCACACATCTGTTTGGCAGAGCTGCTGTAAGGATGACAAAAGGATTTTCTAAGGCACTTAGCGCACTGCCTGGCCCATGAGAGGTCATTAATAAATATCTCATCTCCATCTTCCTGTAAAATGATGAGAGGATTTTTAAAGACTAAAATGAGCCCACAGGTAGCAGTCCAAGTCCAGAACTTCACTTGGAAAAGGAATGAAACTTTTTAAATGTAGTTTTTAGATAAATAAAAAATAATATTCTCCTTCCTACCACAGGGATAATATATAACACTCATTTCCCCGAGGCAGTGCAGGCAGAGGCAGTGAACAGGTTCAAGTCAAGTTGAGATCACTTGATGGATGGGAGCAAGAGGGGGCATTAAGATGAGGAATGACCCCTCCTGTTTACCCCGCACTTCACAGTTCACCAGTACTTGCCCACCAGTTACCCCAGTAGACACTCACAATCGCTCCCAAGGGCAGGCGATGGGGTGGAGGATGTCAAAGATCACGTCACCTCCGCTTACCAGATGGAAGAACTGCAGCCCAGAGAGGGAGCGAACCGTGCCCACAGTCACCGCTGGGGCTCAGAGAGACCAAGCCAGCCAACAGCAGGACTTCCTTTAATAACAGCAGAGCTCATCTCCATTCGCCAGCGGGGCCAGGACACCATGAAATAAGAAAGACAAGTAAGGCATTGGCAAGGCAAGTGTTCACACAATGCATGCATCCCTGGCACTCACCCCAATCCTAGCCCTGTTTACCAAGCTGTGTGCTAAACATCTGTGTTAGGGTGAGAGATAAATGTCCTCCCAGAGTAGTAGTATAGTAGTATGTATTCAGAGGAGCGGCATTTGGAAGGTCACTGGAGTAGGATGCTCTATAGCCAACTTGCTGTTAGAAGCTGGGGCCTGGTTGGAGGTGGGTCACTGGGGGCATGGCCTGGAAGAGCATAGTGTTCTTGTGCCCACCTGTGTCCTCTCTCTCTCTCTCTCTCTCTCTCTCTCTCTCTCTCTCTCTCTCTCTCCTCTGTCCCTCTCTCTCTTTCTCTCTC